CTCCACATTTTGCTCCAACAGAGTCCTCAAGGATGGCAATGCAAAGGCTCAAACACCTTTCGACCTTAATGATGGTGTACTTGAACCGACGGTATCTTCTAGTGAGCCATTTGTTTCCCCAGTAGAGGGACAACACCATCCAGCACTCCAGGTGATGCCCAACCAGCCTCTGCCCACAATTCCAATCTCGTCGCCGGACGAGTATAGTGGCCCGCCCGAGGACCAAGCCCCTGGCAACAGCCGAACTGTTCAGGCTGCCAATTTGGAAGAAGAGGAGGCGCAAATCAACGGCGTCGAACACGTTTCTGGACCGGATGATGACTTTGAATTCCGACGAGATGCTGCAGCTCCACCCGAAATTTGTGGTTTACATGCAACTGAACAATCGGCTGCTACAGCAACCATCATGCTTTGTGTGGAGAAAATGGGTTTGACGCCTGCGTATGATCCTGAAGAACAAGAACAACTTTTAGCCCCTACAGATCCAGGTGTATTTGAGAAACCTGTCTCACCTTCCGTCTCACCGGTGGATCCTTCCACAGTGACGAACAGGACAGGTGAGTCCAGCGAAGTCGGTGAAGTTGACAATAATCTTCCCGCAAACATCGGCACTGACGAAAGCCCAGTTGTCAACTTTAGTGTTGCCAATAGTGCCGGCAACAATGACCATCACTCCGAGACCGCTGAGAAGAAGATGATTCCCTTCGATGAGTCTGGATCTAGAGATCCAACTGATCAAGAAGGCGCTCCAAGTAGTGATGTAATCGGCAGTGTTGATGATAACTTGACCACCGGTCTCAATCCTGCAACCGACAGTAGCTCCACAGACTCTCTTTCACCCATCACAGGCACTCTCGACTCATTAACCGAATTGAGCAAGTAAGTAAAATATACGTCAGGAGAACCTTCAATACATTTATGGAAACCAAGATGAAGTGGCCTTAGGGTTTCTCTTTTAGCTGAATAGTGTTGGCTTGACCAAGTTTTCGCATCTTGGTCGGAGCGACATGGAGACCTTGCGGAACTCAGGCGGTCCTGCCTCCCCTGTCCTCAAGTATTCCTGAGGATTTTCAGCATCTGACCGTTGACTTGGTACATTTCCAAACATTTCGCCGGCATCGTCAGTAAGTGACAAGTGAAGTCAGCGGTCAGATGCTGTAAATTATCGTGAATACTATGGAAAAAGACGCAGGATTAGATATGTTAGACCAGGTCTCCATGTGGCGCCGAGCAAGTTGCGAAAACTGGCTTCAGTATACAGCCAGGTCGTGAATGGTACGACTAATTTGTCTTGTCAAAATCTCGTTCTATCAAAAATCGTATTATTCGGAGCAATTATATCATCTATAATCATATATTTGGTTATATCCCTTTGAAAGAACTCAATAAAAATGTCAAGTTAGTACATTTTTCTCAGTTTATTAGTTTTATATAATAGCCAGGATACTCAAAAGGTTTATTATATGCAAAGGGATAGAGTATCAAAAAAATATTCTGTGCACATGTTCTCAATTAGTATGCTTTACATATTGGCGATTGTACCTTCGTCCATGGGCCTCAATAAA